CTCCTCCTCCTGGCCCCTCTCTCTCTCTGCGTCTGCCCTCCTCCTCATCTCCCCTCTGCCTCTTCTCGTCTTCGCGTCTCGTCTTGTCTCTCCTCTCTTCTCTGTCTCTCTCTGGCTTTGTCTCTCCTCTGTCTCTGTCTCTCTTTGTCTCTCTCTGTCTCTGTTCTCTCTCTCTGTCTCTCTCGTTCTCTTCTTCTCCTCTCTCTCTTCCTCGCTCTCTCCTTTGTCCTTCTTCCTCTCTCTCTCATCTCTCTCTTTGTCTCTCTTCCTCTCTCTCTCTCTCTCTCTCTCTCTCTCTGCTCTCTCTGCGTCTCTCTCTCTTCTCCTCTCTCTCTCTCGCCTCTCTCTCTCTCTCCTCGTCTCTCCTCTCTCTTCTCCTCTCTCTCTCTCTCTCTTCTCTCTCTCTCTCTCTCTCTCTCTCTTCTCTCTCTCTCTCTCTCTCTCTCTCTCTCTCTCTCTCTCTCTCTCTTCTCTCATGCTCTCTCTCTCTCACACTCTCTCATGCTCTCTCTCTCTCTCCTTTCTTCTTTCTCTCTCTTTCTCTTTCTCTCTCTTTCTCTTCTCTCTCTTTTCTTTCTCTCTCTTTCTCTTTTTCTCTTTTCTCTTTCTCTCTCTTCTCTCTTTTCTTCTCCTCTCTCTCTTTCCTCTCCTCTTTCTCTTTCTCTTCTCTCTCTCTTCTCTTTCTCTCTCTCTTCTTCTCTCTCTCTCTTCTCTCTCTCTCTCTCTTTCCTCTCTCTCTCTCTCTCTCTCTCTCTCTCTCTCTCCTCTCGCTTTCTCTCTCTCTCTCTCTCTTTCTCTCTCTCTCTCTCTCTCTCTCTCTCTCTCTCTCTCTCTCTCTCTCTCTCTCTCTCTCTCTCTCTCTCTCTCTCTCTCTCTCTTCTCTCTCTCTCTTTCTCTCTTCTCTCTTCTCTTCTCTTCTCTCTCTCTCTCTCTTCTCTCTCTCTCTCTCTCTCTCTCTCTCTCTCTCTCTCTCTCTCTCTCTCTCTCTCTCTCTCTCTCTTCTCTCTCTCTCTCTCTCTCTCTCTCTCTCTCTCTCTCTCTCTCTCTCTCTCTCTCTATATATATATATATATATATACATATATACACAGATACATTTATATGAATGTATATGTATTTGTATAAATATATATATACATGTGTAATATATAGTATGTGGCAGATTAAATTATTAGGCTAGAGATTTAAGAAAAACAAAAATCCTAATTATATTTCTATTACTTTACCCAATACAGAGCAAAGCTAAACAGGAGGTTGCTTTTTTACCGGATAAAATGGGGAACTTCGAGCCACCCAAGCCTCCAACGCGAGTAGGTCCTGGGGAGGGAGGCAAGGCCCACCACTTATCCCCCAACAAGCAGAATGAAGGGTCCCAGTCTATGAGCGAATATGGCATCAACATGGTTGTATCTGATGAGATCGCTATGGATCGGGTGATTCCAGACACCAGGCATTCCGAGTCAGTATATTGCTCTTGTTCTTCTTTATTTTTATGTATTTAGATATTCGTAACATTGTAAAAAGATACTAACTTCATGTAAAAGTATATCATAAATTAGTCTAGATTGTTATTGTTTAGATATGTTTTTTTATTTATATGATGTCTTCTTTTATTTATGTATTTATTCATTCTTATTTGATGGGTTGTATTTGCTGGTTATAAAAAGTAGTTACTCAGCAATCATCTAGAACATCTGTACAGTTTTGATGAAGAGTAATATTCAGTCAGATGCTTAATTTTGTTAACTTGTCAGAAGAACTGAAGTGTTTTGTATTAGTCAGAAGTTCTAATAAAATTTTATTTGGTTATATTTCACATGTAAGCTTATTACAGTGTATGAAAATTTAAACTAAAAGGAACAGTAAGCTGTGTCAAACAAATTAAGAGATAAGTGATGCTACATTGATCTTGTATCCACGATGTGCCAAAAGTAGGGGATGCATTTACAGTAGAAATGATGGTATACAATAGAGATTATGCTACTACTATGATATTTCAAGGAGCTATACTTTGTAGGTGCCAACACTGGGAATATCATAGAGATTATGCTACTACTATGATACAATCTACTACTATTATGGAGTGCCAACACTGGGAATATCCTGAGGACTTGCCAACAACATCTGTGGTTATTGTTTTCCACAACGAAGGCTTCTCAACTCTTATGCGCACAGTGCACTCTGTCATTGATAGATCTCCTCCACAGTTTTTGAAGGAAGTGTTGCTTGTGGATGACTTCAGTGACAAAGGTATTTAACTTAACATAGTATATTTTTTCTTACATAATTTTTTTTTTTGTTTTAGGTAATTTTTTGAAATGTTATACTTTGTTTGTATAAAGCTGGGATTGAGCTGAAACCTTTTTGTTTTTCAGCAAATTTGAAAGAGCAACTAGAAGACTACATTACAAGATGGAATGGCAAAGTTCGGTTAATACGCAACAAAGAACGTCAAGGCTTGATCCGCACGCGCACAACTGGAGCTGAAGAATCCAGGGGTGAAGTGGTCTTGTTCTTGGATGCTCACTGTGAAGTAAACAAGAATTGGCTTCCTCCCCTTCTTGCCCCAATTTACAGAGACAAGTATGACTTAACTAAAATTCAAAAAAAATGATATAGAAAAAAAAAATATTTGAATTATATCTTAACTCTTCCGTTATATATACTATATATATATATATATATATATATATATATATATATATATATGTTATATATTATATATATATATATATCCCCAGTTATAATATATTGTGATATATGTTAAGTAGTATAGTATATATATATATAGTATATATGCTATATATATGTATATATATATATATATATATATATATTACATATTTTATATTATATAAGGTATACTATACATATATATATTATATATATAATGATATTATATTAGTAATATTAATATATGTATATTAGTATATATAATATATTATAGTATAATATTATATATATATATAGATAATATATATATTATAGACTATATATATATAATATTATATTAGATATATATATATATATATATATATAAATATATAGATAAATTGTTGTGTGTGTGGTGTTATGTGTATGTGTATATGTATAGTATATGTGCATGCGCATGTGTATATGTGCAATGCGCATGTGCAGTGCATGTATATGTATATGTATATGATATGTAATATGTAATTATGTATATTTAATATATATATATAGATAATATATATACATTATATATTAATATATATATATAATATATATTTATATATAATATATATATTTATATTATATTATATAAATATTATTATTATATTATAGTATAGTATATATATATTATTATAACATATATATATATATATATATATGTGATATAGTATATATTAGTATATATCATATATATATTATATATGTAATTATATATGATATTATATATATTATATATATATATGTATATATATATATATAATATATATATATATATATATATATATATATATATATTATATATATATATATATAATATATATGTATATAATAATATATTTTAGTACTATATAGTATATACTAAAAAGGTATATATATATATATATATATATATATATAATATATATACATATATATTAGATTAATATTATACATATATATATAGGTATATACAATATACATATAATCATATATATATCATATATATATATATATATATAGTTAGATTATATGTATTATAATATATATATATATATATATATATATATATAATATATATATTATATAATATATTAATATATATATATATATATATATATATATATATGTATATATTATATAATATATAATTTATATATATATTAATTTATATATTTATAAATACCATAATATATATATATATATATACATATATATATATATATGTACATATATTATATATTATAATTATAATATATATATATAAGTATATAATATTGATTATATAGGGTTATATATATATAGTATTATAGATATTATATAATAGGTGTAAATATTTAGATGAATAAAGATTAAAACTAATTAACAGGTCAAAGTCTTTTCATTTAATGAACAGTACTAAGATATTTTGTCATGTAACAGTAGGGTATTTCATTCTAACATTCTAATTCCTATTTCTATCTTCCAGGCACACAATGACAGTACCAGTGATAGATGGCATAGACCACAGCACATTTTGAACCGGCCAGTTTATGGTCCTGGACCAATTTCCGTGGTATATTGAATGGGCATGCTGTACAAAGAGACGGAATTACCAGCAGAAATTGAGCGCACACGCAAACAGAAAAGTGCTCCTTACAAGTATGACAGTGTATAATCTGTATCTCTTTTTCTCTCTTTTTCTCTTTTTATTTTTTCTTTTCCCTTCTCTTTTTCTCTCTCTTTTTTCTTTCTTTTTTCTTTTTTTTCTTTAATTTTTCTCTTCTTCTTTTCTTATCATTTTTTTTTTTTTTATTTTTTTCTCTTTCTCTCCCTCCTCTCCTCTCCTCTCCTCTCCTCTCTCCCTTCTCTCCTCTCTTCTCTCTCTCCTCTGTCTCTCCTCTGTCTCTCCTCTCTCTCCTCTCTCTCTTCTCTCTTTTCTCTTCTTTTTCCTTCTCATTCTCTTCTTCATTATCTTTCTCTCTTGTTACCTCTTTCCATTCAACCCACCCTTCTCATGAAAGGGTTATGTTGACTTGAAAGGAATTAAAAGTTCTGTATTCATTTTATGTTGACTTGAAAGGAAAAAGTTCTATCATTGAAAGTTCTTTTAATTGTCGTTTCTTATTTGGAGCTCCGAGTATGTGCATAGTTCCATATGATTTTTGCTGTATTTCAGAGCACCTACACATGCTGGAGGTCTCTTTGCTATTAACAGAGAGTACTTTTTGAGTTTGGGAGCTTACGACCCAGGTTGGTTTGTTTGGGTGTGAAAACTTTGAACTGTCATTCAAGGTATGTGAATACATATAGATAAGTTATGATTATATCAATACATAGTAAGAGATGATGAAAATCAGTTAGTGATCATGATGAATAAAAGTGTAACTGATTGTAGTTCTCAGTTAGTTGTTTACGGAAAAGTTTCATCACATGTAAAATTTGGAATGTGTATTTTAAGGTTTATGATCGGAGATGCATGTTTACTGTGGTAAGAAAATAAAATTTAATGGGAGATTTTGTTTCGATAGGTTTGGCAGTGTGGAGGTAGTATTGAGTGGGTTCCTTGCTCCCGCGTTGGCCATGTGTACAGAGGATTTATGCCTTACAACTTTGGAAAATTAGCCGAAAAGAAAAAGGGCCCTCTCATTACTATCAATTACAAGAGAGTGATTGAGACATGGTTTGATGATAAATACAAGGAGTACTTCTACACACGAGAACCTCTTGCAAGGTAAGAAACTAATTGCTAGGCTGAAACTATTCTTATATTTTATTTAATTGGAAAGTGCTGTAAGTGTTTTTAATGAATATTTTTATTTATTTATAGATATTTAGATATGGGTGACATTAGTCAGCAACTGGAGTTGAAGAAACGTTTAGGATGTAAGAGCTTCCAATGGTTTATGGATAATGTGGCATATGATATGCTAAGGAAGTATCCAGAACTACCTCCAAATCTTCATTGGGGTGAGGTAAGTCAAGAGTTTTTTTTTTTTTTTTTTTTCCCAAAAAAAAATCTTAAAATTTATTGTTTTAATTTTTATCTTTCTTTAATTCAATTTTTGATTCAGTGACATTTTGATATTAATATGAATTTACTGTTTTGGTTTATATCATGCTTGTTTATGCTTTTCTTTGTGAATAGTTTTTAGACATCAAGATTATGTGAAACTTTTATGATAGCAACAGATAATAAACCTTTATATTGCCACTAAGAAAGAAATTCATAGGCACTGTGGGGAACTTATCATTGTCCTCTTCTTCTGTGTTCCTTTTCTTTTCTTTTCTTTCTTTGATACGGATTACAATTTTACTAATTTTACACAAGTTCATTTGATTTCTACTTATCCACAAATAATCATTCACATTTCATTTTGTATTCAAGAGATTTGTATCGTTGGTAAGGTACCATTACAACATGAAGCATGTCAAAGAAGTTCTCTCCATTTGGAGCACAATCACCTCACTTTCTTGCATGAGAAGTTTGTCCACTTTTACCCATGGATAGTAATACATTGGTGAATGCTATTAGTAAGGAATAAATGAGGTATCTTGCAACATTTATATATTCTAAGATTCACTCAATGTGAAATGAGGTTACTAATATTGGATGTGCAGATTTTGGGTGAATAATGAGGTTAATTAATATAACATAGTTATTGTGAGGAGAGTGTGATGTGTTATCTGTTTTTTTAAGGTAATTTACGTAATTTTAAGGGGACCATCAGCCAACATAGCTAGAACTGTAGAACTGTGCAGTATGATGTATGTGCTGGTCTTTTTATATTCTTGATACTTGAATTTTCCTTAGATTTAAGACCCCCCCTTTTCTATTTTATTGTTTTTGTATTTTTTAGCATTTATTGATTGTTATTCCTTTATCGTTTATAGTATTCAGTTATTCATTCATTCATTTATTCAATTCATTCCATTGAAGGAGAAGTTAAAAAAAATCTTTATGGGTGGATGTTTGATAGATTTTCTTATTTTTTCTATTTTATGTGAATTGATAATGGGCTTTTTGGAGACTGCATTTTTGGGCTCCCAATGGGAGGGTCCCTAAAATAAAAGTAAAAGTAAAAAGAAGAAGAAAAAATCTGTAAATTCATTGGATCCGGTTGCGCTATGGAAATCATGGTGCCAAAAATACGGGCATTGGGTTATGTAAGTAACCAACATCCAGGGCATGTGGAGTGTAGGCAGGGTAAATGAACACCCATGAGCAGTGACAAGACTCTGTACCTCCCCTTTGCAAAGTTATTTTGTATAAAATATTTGTCTTTTGATTATTTCCTTGTACAGACTCCATAGCACTGCAGGTTACAGCGGTCAGGAATACAGTGCGCAGCATGGAAATAGTGTCCTACCTGGTGCCAGCACTCTTCCTCTCATGGTTTACACATTACAATCTAGATTCGTTTATCGATGGGAATAATGCTAAAGCCCGCTTCTAAGCACCAAATGAGTCAAATCATACTCCAAGAGGTTTGTGCACTCTTGGCAAATCTTTTCTGTCACTTTGGCCTTTTCTCATGATGGCAAGTTCATGTCACCCAACCTGATAACTGCATTTTCATGTCACCCTGCCCACGACCCAGATTTTTCCATGATGGGACTGGATCCAGATCCTAGGAATTAAGCCAACATGAATCACAAAGATACCATATTATGCAACATGCACATTTTTAATCAGCTTTTCTTGTATATTACAAAAGGATTAGGCTTATACCTAAGTTTGTGCATATTTTTATTGATAATATTACCATAAGATCAGTCACTTCTTACAGATTTTCACTTTTTATTAATTTTGTACGTATAGCCTCTGCATTTTTAAAGACTTCATTGTTTTGGGCATCAAGATAGACTGGAGGGGAGAAAAAAGCAAGAAAAATCCTTATTTTACTCAAGTTTTAATTTCTGAGATATGATGATTAGCCTGATCTCAGTATTTTATTAGTTTGAATATATTTTCCAATATATTGTCAAAATCTGATGCTATGCACAATAAACTATACACAGAATTGATATTGGCCCTTTTTGATACTTGAAAAAATGGAGGTTAGTGTAATGTTCTGGAATGTATAATTTTCTTAAAATTATATATATATTGGCTCATTTTATTTCCCACGACAATTATTTTGGTCTGTTGGGTTCTCCTTCACAGTTAATACTAGATGGTGCATCTCAAAAATTGCCTACAGTAAAAAAAAAAAAAAAAAAAAAAAATAATAATAATGTTAAAGTGGGTTGGCATGTGTTTAGAATAAGAAAAAAAGAAACTCATTTCAATGAATGTAATTTTTCAGCTGTGAAAGACACTGAGACCTGAGTTCTTTAACCAATAGCAACAGTATGTGAGTTAGAAAACTAGCTCAAACAGTGTGAACATCGACTGCCAAATTCCGGATAATTCTATTTACTCGGATTCATTTTGTCTTGCAATCTCTTTTTTGACATTTTTTGACATAGTTAAGTTGATATTATATAGCCTTACAGCTTTTGCCAATGAGTAACTAGTAATAATATACTATTTCCTTTTAACAAATGAACAGTAAGTTTGTTACTGATTAATATAAAAGGAACTGCACAGCATGCATTGTTAAGGACTATCCATCTGACTATCACATTTTAGGAATCTTTCATTTACTTTTGTTTTTGTAAAACAGTGATCTCTTATATAGAGAATGTATATATGCATATATATGTATGTATGTTCATATACATATATATATATATATATATATATATATATATATATATATATATATATATATATATATATATATGTATATGTATGTATGTATAGATATTTATGTTTGTACCTAAATATATATATATATATATATATATAATATATATATATATATATAGATATATATAGATATATAAATGATATATATATCATGTGTGTGTGTGTGTGTGTGTGTGTGTGTGTGTGTGTGTGTGTGTGTGTGTGTGTGTGTGTGTGTGTGTGTGTGTGTGTGTGTGTGTGTGTGTGTGTGTGTGTGTGTGTGTGTTGTGTGTGTGTGTGTGTGTGTGTGTGTGTGTGTGTGTGTGTGTGTGTGTGTGTGTGTGTGTGTGTGTGTGTGTGTGTGTGTGTGTGTGTGTGTGTGTGTGTGTGTATGTATGTGTATGTATGTATGTATGTGTGTATATATGTGTGTGTGTGTGTGGGGGGGTTTATGTGTGTCTATATAGATATAGATTTAGAGTTCATAAACAACATGTTATCAACCCATTCTATCTTATGAATATAACACTGTAAGAAATTTTGTTAGCAATGTAATCAGTTTTTAAAAATGCATACAAGATACACTGTATGTCTTGTAGTCTTTTTCAGCCATAAAATTCTTGAAAGGTATAAATGATACATTTACCCTTGTATAGACTCATTCAAAGAGACATGACAATACCAGGACTCACAGACTTTTTAAACTGACCGGTAGCTCCGCAGTGTAGTTGGTGACTTCTGTTGGGACATTGTTGGCCAGGATGCTCCATCTGTGGTTGAGACCTATCCATGTATGGGAGACTCACTGGGTGCAGATACTAGTCAGGTATTTGGTATGATTAATCAGTAAAGGTTAAGGCTGCATGACGTAGTGGTTGAATATAGATATGTTGGACAAGAGACACTTTTCCTTTGTGCTTATTTCAAAGGTGATTGGAATATCTGGTATTTCTTGGCTGGTTCATGCAGTTTTGAGGGTTGCATTGTGCATATCTCTGGTTTCCACTTGTGTTTATAATGTAAAGCGATTCTTATGTTTAAACAATCAGATTTTATTGATTTGGATCTAAGTGACGTGACAGTCATATCATGGATGGGAGTATGATTAGAATGATTGGGTATTTAGGAAGAAATATGCCATCCATGAGCCATGGCTGGAAGAGCATTGGCTCTGTAACAGAAAATATGATAAAAAGAGAATACAAAAAAAGACACTCAAAAAACAATGTTACTTATTGTTTTGCACAGACTAGCAGACTAGCTTGTGAAATGATATGGAGTCTGTACAAGTAAATTGATATTACTATTGTGATATAGTATATCAAATGATAGACATAGACCTAGGAAATGGCAAAAAAGCAAAAAATGCTAATGTAGAAAGAGATAATAACATTGTAAAGGGGAAGCAAGGAGTCTTAACACTATGCACAAGTGTGCGTACCTGAAAGCCAAACACTTGGGAACCACAGTTCAAATAAGCCTAATGCCTGGATTTTGGTTCATATGTGGGTAGCACATAGATACAATGGGATAAGGGATAACATATTTCTCTGATGGCAGAGTAATGTAAACCTACAAGTTATTTTGATATATAAGAAGAGCTTGTGGAAGTGGTTTCATAACTGATCATCATGTCCAGTAAAGCACAGTTCATATGATATGGATTTCCGTTCACATACTGACAGACTGGATAATCAGAACTCAGAAAGATTTTTCATATCGAGAATGCTGAACATGAGCAAACTTTCATGCTTCAAATAAGGAAGGATCTATGTATGTTCTGGGTGTTAAGGGGATAGTAGAGGTCTGTGATGACTCTTCAGTAGTTTTTATTGTGGTGCTGATCTACATTCATTGAGGACAGAAATCATGGATTTATTTTTTATTTTTTTATTTTTTTTTATTTTTTTTTATTATTATTATTATTTATTTTTTTTTTTTCCAAACTTTATCTCTGGAAGCATGTGGTACTGGTGTGTTAATAACTGCATTGCTCTCTTTTGTGGTAAACAAGGTTGATGGTAATTTCACACAATTCTTATAGAACAGGTAAAACTTTGTCTCCCTTTACACTCATTGGTCTTTTAATTTCTCTAGCTTCAGCTTTGATGAGTTCCTTACTCTGTCTGTGGGGCAAGGTAACACTCGCCATTCTTTCATCTCTAACACACTTTCCACAGCTACGTAATGCTGCTACTTCCCAGTGCCTTGATACTATGGGTCACCCAGCTCCAAGTTTGATGGGTATAGCACATTGTCATGGGTTTGGTAACAATCAGGTATGTGAATTAATAGTATTCCAGTTTTAGAAGCATGCTTATGTTTATTTGTAAACATATATTGATTTGTGTAAAGTATCAGTTTGTTTTCTTTGAGGTATTGTATAGATTTTCAACTTTGCATAGAAAAGTTAAGCTCAAATGTTTAGTTATTTTTGATGATTATTTTGTACCACCTTTCGCCTTATTTGAAAGTAAAGTAATTTACCTAGTGAAATATGATTTTGATAGTAATCCCAAGTTTGATCTGCAATATTTCATCAAGGTAATATTAGTATTTTTTTTATGTATAAAACAGTTGATACGCCTAAATGCTGAAGGACAGCTAGGTGTAGGGGAGAGATGTATCGATGCAGATGGCCAGGGGATCAAGTTAATCTTCTGCCATTTAGGAACTGTGAATGGTCCATGGGAATATGATGAGGTGAGTTTTTTATTATTCTTAATAGCATATCTAGAGATGGATTGTCTGGAGATTTCTTTTTAAGAGAGAGTATGATGATGTAGATTTTTTCTGTAATTAGTTTCCAAGTTGTAAGATTTTGATAAGGTGATGATATCACAACATTGTCAGTATCCATTTTCTCACAGCATTTCTCCAGCCAAACATGTTTATTTGGCTGGATCAAAAAGTAGTAGTATACCACATATTTAATGTGGAATCATAAGACATAATTAGAATATTGATTAACCTGCAAATGTTTGAAAGAATTGAAGAGGTAGTTTGGTAATTTCAGTTATTATTTGCTGTACATCTGCAATTCCACAGTCTTTATTCACAAAAGTGATAAAAACTTTAGAGAGTTTTCAGACAGCTTTAGAAGGTTGCAACTCAACATGTACCTGCCTGGCATGTAGCTCCCCCCATACTGTCAAGTGAACTTTTATAACCATAGTCTAAGCCACAATCCATATCTGCCATTCACTGACAGCGATAACCTGGACCAAAGCTGTCTGGGATAGGATGATACATAGACAGTTTCCTTTTTATACTGATTGGCAGTAGCAGTTTTATAGTACTGCTATACAAGGGAGGATATGTTCTCTTGAAGTTTCAAGTATATAAACATTCTATAATAGGGATGAATTAACATCCAGCTTAATATGCTGTGGATAGGTAGGGATATTAACAGGAATTAGATTGAGACTACAGACTTTAAAGTCATCATTTTCTTAAGGTCTGAATGAATTAGGCAAACGTTGTTAATGCTTTTGTTGACTATTATTCTGTATAGGTATATTTACTGTGAATGTTCTCTATGTATACTGTGTAAAATTTTGGTTGTATGTAAAAGGTGGAATTTGTTGAAGGAAAGATGTGAAAATTTAGCAGAGCTTGAAGATTGGGTAATAAAGAAAAATACAGAGGCATGAATAAGTCTCTTACGCTTTCCATATACTTGTTTCAGACAAGTCATTTGCTGTTCCACAAGAAGTTGGGGAAGTGTGCTTCTCTCCATCCACAGAATAATCAGCTGTTACTGCTTCCCTGTGACCCAGTCAACAACTACCAGAAGTGGAATTTTAAGCAAATTACCCCAAAATGGTGAAAGGGTGATAAAAAGGTTGTGCTTGTTTGTGAGTGATTTTTTCCTGAGGTCTGAATTATGTTTAAATGTGTTGAATAGATAAATAAGTAAACAAGATTATATGTATGTACATACATATAGTTTTATGCAAAAGAAAGAAATCACTATTACCTCAAAATTTTAAGAATTAGGGAAAGTTGTCAGTCATTAAGTGTAGAAGATATGATAATCAGAAGTCCATTATGACTGCCAGTTGTGATTTGAATTAAATGATATTATATTCTAGTTAATCAAATGTAAGAAAAATCTCTTGCGTATTGAAAGGAGAATGAACCATTCATTGAACATTGTAATATATCAATCCAAAGCTGCGGGAACATGTGATATCCATTGTAGTGTTGCTTTGTAAAATGTGTTTACACAGAGATAGCTCTGCAAGTGTTCAGCTACCAAGGATTTAATTAGTGGAAATACTTGCCTTATTTCCCCTTTCCTTGAGGTTTTGGGATTTATTTTTTTAATGCTGTTATTGATATTATAACTGTTATGATATTTTTAACAATGCTAATGGCAATGGAAGATGAAGAATAGTTCCAAAAATCAAGAAAAACAGATAGGTAGGACTAGTGATTGACTACTTTAAGGAACTATCTTTGTGTAAACACAATTAGTAAACTAAACTTACAGCGGGGTTGGCATGTACATGTATGTACATGTCAGCCCCAGCAGCATTGGGTTAAAGTAACATATGCCCTAGTATTTGTATTCTATTACAGTTTATAGTTGATCTATAGATATTTAATTTTATACCATGAGATTTAAGAAGTCAGGTTGTTTACTATGTTTAGTTTATAATATCCAGAAATAAACATAATTTACCATGATGATCTATGGTTAATTACAGAAAAGTTAGCTATTATTTTAGATAAAGCTTTATCAACATATGAAAATATGAAAACATTTACTTAAAAGCCGTTTTTGATAACAGAGAAAAGGAAACATGGAGAATTGCAGCTCAGTCCTAACAAAAGAGACCAGCTGCTGAACAGAAAGGAAACTGTTCCATATTTAGTAAATTATTGGACTATATATTGTATTTATTTTATGGGTTTTAGCAAATGCTAATGAATAGTTATCTGTTATCTGTTTTGTTTTTATAGTCAATAGAAATAGGTGTTGTTTCCAAGTGAATTGTTTTCCTTTTCTTTATTTTTATAGATTAAGTAAAAATATTTGATCTAGTACACTTCTTTTTGCATAATTTATAACCTAATCTTGATTATTTAAAGTGAGGAAAAATATCTCCCTCACCCTCGGGTCTTCTAAATTTATTTTAGTAACGTGCATTAATTAGTGGTAAGAGGATTCCAATTTAAATAGATTATAGGTGAATGCATATATCCTTTGATCCATATGGCTGAAGTAGACATATTTAATCCCTTGGATCCAGGTGACATGACCTTAACATCATAAAGAAATTTGGCTGACAACCAGATCATGGGAATATGCTGCCGTGAGTGCACAAACCTCATGGAGGTTGATTAGACTTGGTGGGCATTTAGGAAGGGGCTCTAGCTTTATTTCCATCTGTAAACAAGTTTGTAATCTACCATTTGTGAGCCATGACTGGAATAGTGCTGGCTAAAGGGGGGACACTATTTCTATGTTCAGGATCCTATTCCTGACATAACAAAATGTTACTTCTTGATTTTCTTTCTTATTGCATGGAGTTGTAGACTACCTAGAGATGAAATGGAGTCTGTGCAAGGACATCAGTCTATTACTGTCTTGATGCAAATTATCAAGTGACAAATATAGATCTTGGGAAAATGGCAAAAAAACAACTTGCAGAAGAGATAGTAACATTGCAAAGGAGAGGCAAGGAGTCTTGACAGCACAGGTATTTTTGTGTTGACTGGGCCTCCAAGCCACACACCTGGTAGAGTTGCCATTCAAGTGAAGCACCTGGATCCAGTGGGTTAAGCATGCTGTAGTTTTAGTACTACCATGTGCTCTTTCACCAACCTTTTTATGCTTTGCCAGATGATATTATTTGTGATAAGTATTTACATGCAGAAAAGTAGTAATTCAAATCGCCTTCAATCTTCAGTCTTGATATAGAAAACTGAATGGTGCAAATAGTAAAGATGCAAGCAGTCCATTATTTTTTTGCTCATTAATTATGCTGAGGTTTGTTGTTGTTGCTTTCTTGCTTGTACTCTATCCTCACTTTATTTCTACCTTTTTATCTTTCATTTTCTTTATCATCAGTTTTTCTCATCTTATTGTCATTATGTATGGTAAAAGTGGCACTGGGTTTTTCAGTTTGTATATGTGGTAGATAGTTCTTGGATGTGTTTTTACTTAAAGCTGTATTGAAAAATTTTGTGTAATTTTTTGCTTTTTGCTCATAACTTTAATGATAATGAAATGGCATCACAAATTATTGAGAATACTCTGTGATTCTTGAAATATGGACTCTTGTTAAACATATGTTTTTATGATCTTAATTTGATTATGAATCTGCTGTTAATCTCAATGTATGTGTATGTAAGTATGAGAGCTAAGGCTTTACAGGCTTACATAGCTTTACCATGATTTTTGGAAATGGTGTTGATTTGATTTGGCCATTGTATAAGTGAAAAATGAATGTTTTTTTTATTTTATTTAAGCCTGCCTGCCTTTGTTTAGCTCCAAATTTTGGAATAAGATTTACCTTAAACAGTACAATCAGGTTAGCATTGGAAATTAATCAAGAAATTGGTTAAAATAAATAACTGATTATTTTTTCACTGTACCTAATCATTCACTATTTACTAATCCCATAACACCCTATATAGGTGGATTGAAGATTGAAAAGAAGAGTGATATAATTGCATCTTAACTGCTTTAACCCCTTACTGATGGGAAAGGCTATAGACCTTCTTGAGATATTTCAGCTATGTGCCAGGTACCGTCTAACCATCATAACTTGCTCCTGCACTAGTGTGCTGTAACTCCCAGGTGGGCTACCTGGACTGGCTGCATACTGAAAGTAAGATGCATAATTCTTCATAAGGCTTGGGTATCACAAGACTTGATTTATCAGTTTAACATAAACAGAATATGGTAATTGTTTTTAGTTCATTGTAAAATAATTAAAAATGAGGTGGTTGAGGCAGAAATATGAAAATTATATGATATTCATTTGTATATATAGATTTTTTAAGTTGTAGGGCCTCTGGTATTTCTTGCAACTCAAGGGTTTTGAGCTAAGATGGTGCTGGAAGAGACAATGTACTTTTATTTATTTATTTATTATTATTTTTACCATTGTTGCTAGTTATAATTTTATTCTGCACACAGATGAAGTAGTTTGTTTTTTAAGGTGATTTTTTGTGAGATTTGTCTTATGCATGTGTAGAATAGTTAAATTACAAACTTTCTGCATATTGTTGACCAATATGAATAGTCCTTACCTTATTCTGTCCTTGAATCCTGGGATCTCATTTAGATGGTTTTACATTTGCAATATATTTTGATTTATGTATTTTGTATGTGTATATGGGATGAAGTATCTGAAATTAGAATGTGCATAAAACCTGAGACCATATGACTTAACACAAACAGAAATGCTCATGAGTAGTTGCGCCACTTACACCCAAAGTAAATAAACTTTCAATGATACCACTGAACGTGAATATTATGATTATTTTCCTTTGGCAATCCAGCTAAGGGAGCAGGAGTAGTGTATTGTAAAGTTTATTGAATTTTCTTACTAAATGATGTACTAGGAAGATTCCAAATTATATTGGATTATTGTAACAGAATTCTGCTAATGTTGCTTAACAAAACAAAGCAAACAATTGTAATGTTTTTGTTTTTTCAAAGAAGTTACTATTGAGAGTTTTGAAGTAATTATTTTTTTGGAACTTGATGATAGCAAATCTTTAATGCATTTAAGCTTAAAAATATATATATATTGAATTCAAGTATTTTTGTAAAGAATTCCTTTTTGAAAGATATAGGGAAGGTATAGAATTGCAGATCAGATATAAGAGGTAAACAGCAGTAATGTTTTAAATCTTTTAAGTTTGAGAGATCATTATCATTGTTAGCAGTGTCAGGTTAACTGTAATTGTAAACATTTTCAACATATTATTTTCTTTGCACAAAATTAGGTTGTTACATATTAGCTTGGACATTCTGAGAGGTATTGTGAGGGTATACCCATGCTACATACTATACTCTTTGTTTGTCTGTGCTAAATCAATTTATTGAAATTTGTTTGCCTACCATATGAAGTAATATACAAACCACTGATAGTAATTGATAACATAACAGGAACATGTGATGTGTTCTCCTTTACTCAAGTTAAATCATTAACTATATGAATTTGTTCAAAGATTTTAGGAAGCATATAACCTGGAGGCGTGGAGACAAACAGCAGAACACAAAATATGAATTATAAAAGTTAGGTACATCACTCCCTTTCTCATGTAAATATCCTGTGTGTGTTTGATTTTTGCCACTCCTAACATTATTTCTTCAATGAAGAAATGCAATAAATGGTACAATAAATTACCATTGTGCAATATCAGTATCAGTAATTAACAAATTTATTACTGAGTATATCTGAATTATCATGTATTTTTAGCCAAACACATGCACCTTAAAAGATTTACACAGTAGTCAAAATTGTCTGTCAACAGATGTTTCAACTTCAAATGCATTGGTACTTCATTTCCTTTTACTTTTTAGTTACAAATACAAAATTTTAAGAAATGTAAAAATGTTTATTAATGTAAGATGGGATAATATGAAAGCTACAATGGTAGATGATTCCAACTATCAGCATGGAGAAAACAGATCAAGAATGCCTTTTATATAACCATACAGGTCTGTGGTAAGGACATGACAATCATGTATTAATGAATAGTTTTTCTTGTTAATGTTTTCAGTAATCTTATTCCATATGCTTAGTATAAAATAACTAATTGGGCTTGAAATATTCATACTTTGGACTATTTGATTATTTTTGATTTCCTTTTGGATACCCAATACCTTTCGTGCACACACTGACAAATGCACATGCACATGACATGATATTTCTCTTATTTTTCTGTGATAAACATAAAAGGAGCATTGAGAAATTTTATCTAAATAATGCACATTCCTATGGTTGAGTGTGGCTTAGGCAGTGGCATCTGTGAAAGTTGTTTAGTTTTATACTTTCAAGCATTTATCAGCAAAGGATAAAAATGTTGCTTGCATTTTCATTTTCAAATTGTACTGTGGATTACAGTGAAGAGAAATAAAGATATTTTTAACACCCTTTTTCATTATCAGATTTACCCCAGTAGAAAAGTGATATCAACATTTGAATTTTGACTGTCATGAAGAATAAATAAAATGCAATGATTTTCAATATTGAACAGGAATTTGTTTGATGACACTCTCTTGGAGAACTGTAAATTAATTGATGGAGCCTAAGGACAGCCATAACATATCAGCTGTTGGCCACAACACATGTATGGGTGGAGTTTCTTACCTACTTTTCATGAAATCTAGTGACTATTATGAAAACATCACCATTGCTGTTACAGTAAGAGACAAATGGTTTACAAATGTTTGTGACGATTTTGATAAGATAGGAAAACTGAGCAGTTTGTTGTATTTACAGAAAAAAAAATGATCTTGGACTCAACGGTTCTAGGGAAGTATGCTGTACATTAATAGATGCAATGTGAACTTATGAAGGAACCCAAATTATTGGAAGCAGTAAAAAAATAATATATATATATTTGGATATACAAGATCACAGTAATTTGGGAAGGATTTTTCAAAACTTTCTAGGTCCTAGAGGCAACTGCAAAGATTTTGATTTGTAAAATTAACTTATTCTTGTTCATACAAATGAGTTTTACTTGATGGGTACAAGGACTTTATTTACCACAGAGCACTTTCAGAGTAAAACAGCCCAAATGTATGTGCTTGTAGTGGAGTGAAATAACCAGACAATGACCAAACTGCACTTAGTCACTTGCTGGTAGCCAGTAAGCAGATATTGGATGAAGGCAGTCAGTCCACTAGGCACTACTGAACTGTGTAGATACAGCAGTAGTAGTCAGAGAATACGTGCATGTGCAAGAGATATATAGGTAATACATTGAAAATCTAGGCATAATAGCAAAAATATAATTATGTAATGTTAGCATGTGGGTCTGAAGCTCATTTTCTAGGCACTGTCATGTTATAAAAATATACAAGTTGTGATTTGGTTACTAATCCATCAAGGTATATGAAAGTACCATCTGGGGAAAAAGACATTCTTTTGTAATACATAGCATTTGCAGATACTGCATTTTCTCATACCTGTTTCCCAGCTTATCTTGAAAATATACTGATTGATGCCTAAGATTTTGAAGAATGACTAAATAAATTACTTGCAGGTAATAGGTAGTCTCTTTTTTCTTTCCCTTCTCTTGTTTACGGTTACATTGTAACCCCCCTCCCCCAATGCCATGCTCAATTTTATCCTGTGGGGACAGCAGATGGAGATTGAGGCCCAATGGGGGGATCACCCCTGCCTTTAACCTTGGCCCTTGCCTCAACTAATTTTGCATGGTCTTTTCTTCCCCTTTCTTTTTCCTTCTCTTCTTCATCCACTTCTGTCCACATCGTAAGTGTGAGAGCTGTGGTGAAAGGCCGTTGTACTCTGTTTGCAATTTCCTCTTTACCCTTTTCACTACCATACTAACCAATAGCGCTCTACAACCTTTGTCCTAATTGTTAATTAATCTTTAACCTTTTTGCGACAATACTTTATCATAATGCTGTATTACCTTTCGATACTATGGGTCTTTATACCCAAACTTGCCCTATTGCTCTATTTTGTAAATGCCACTAATGATGCAGCAGAAAATCTTAAATAAATAAATAAATAAACTTTGTAACAAACCAAAAATGAGAGCCTAATTATGCAGTTATGTTTTAAATACTTTCCTCTGTCAAATGCATTAATCTTTATCCCATTTTTCCATCTAAGTAGTCCATTTTGTGAAGTTTGACAGATTTTGATGAAATTTGTCAGTAATGAAGGAAGGAAATGTTCTCTTCAAATTATCTGAACAAAACATTGGTTAAACTGTTACAGAATTTTCAGTTTGGTTAATTTAGCCATTTCATTTGTTAATTTGTGTTGAATCTTTTTTTTTTTCTTTTTAATTTCCATTTTTTCATGATCATACTGACTTATGTCTTATTTCTTGATCTTCAGACAATTAGATAAGTTCACTTTTACAAAGTTTTAAGTGCATAGTGAAGTTAAGTCATTTTGTGTAGTTCTGTACTGAAAATTAACAAATATTTATCTCTAACAATGGTAACTATTGTATCCCTTTTCATTGCAATTATGTCAATTGAAGGACTGCATATTATTTTCATATAAATGCTTGTGAAAAGCAGGACACAGGAAGCTGGTTATTAAATCCACATGGAAATACAGGGAACTAAGTCAAGTGCTTTATTGTACACTTCCAGTACAAAAAATACTAAAAATGTTTAACATGTCACAAAAAGGTGATTAAACAAAGAGTGAAGATATCTGCTTCAATTTCTTTGTCTTTCAGACTTGAATAATACATACTTTCAAAATTGAACTATGTAAGCTTTGGTATGCACAAAAACAATATAATATAAATGTTCATAAAGGAATTTGAGGTTCTTTCTAAAATTACATAACCAAGATCCATCAGAAACCATTCATTTCACTATAAAAAGGAATATCATATATTAAAGAAAAGCTACTGTGTATTCTTATTGTGTACAAATGCTTTTATGTATGGAAAATACATATCTTATCATAATGGATTTCAGGTACTGTCCCACTTCAATTTAGATTAAATCAGCAACTGTAAGAAAAGGAGAAATATTGGTTACACTATGTACAATATATTTGAAAGACTAACAAGGATATATAAATTCAATAATGATAAATCATACAAATATTTACAATTGTCTTTGTATAATGTTACTCACAGACTATCACAAAGAAATTAAAGGAATTATACTTACCATTCATGGGCATTTCATCAATCTGTGTTGAGTAGTACTGTTCAATATCTCGCAGGATACGAATATCATCATTCTTCACAAAGTTGATAGCAACACCTTTCCTTCCAAAACGACCAGATCGACCAATACGGTGAATGTACAACTCACGATTGTTTGGCAAGTCATAATTAATGACCAAGGATACCTGAAAACAACAGTGCTATTAGAACCAAAGATACCTTTTTATGGTGTAAATGTCTTGTTACTTTTAACTCTGCTGACAGGTGCTTCACACACCAGAATGGACCATGCACCAGGTGGAGTTCTTCTTTTGAGGAAAAAAAAAAAAAAAGCACAGAAAACAATTTCTGTTCCCTGCAATTTTAGTTGAAATACACAATTTACAGCAAAGAGGGACTGTAACTCCTCAATGACTCCTATCAAACAAACAGCTGTTTAGTGTGTACAACTTAGAGCAGACTTGATGCCTACAGAATGTAAAGACACCACATGGCAGCCAGCAAGAGGCTAAAACAACTTTCCAAGATTTGATTTGCTGATCTGAGATATTCCTAGTGTATTCTATCATCATGGAGCTTAATAAGAAGTAGTGTTTACTCTGCCTTGGCTATAATTACCTGCTGTACATCAATTCCTCTGGCCCATATATCAGTAGTGATTAATACTCGACTCTGGCCTGAACGGAACTCCTTCATGATAGCATCTCGCTCTTTCTGTGGCATGTCACCGTGCATGGAAGACACTGTGAAATTGGCCTCTCGCATCTTTTCTGTCAGCCAGTCCACCTGATGATTGAGTAAAATAAAACTTTATATGAATTTATTACAATAAAAAAACACCACAAATTTTTATAGTAAGATGTACATAACAAAACAGAAAAATCTGCTAAATTAAAAATGCCCTTCAGAAAGAGAAAGGTAATATTAATACCTACTGGCCTTTTCTGAAGGGGAACTGGTATAATACATTCTTCAATCTTTTTAAAAGTTTTGCTTAAGTTACCACAGCTAATGAAGAAAGTGACAGGTTACAATCTTTGAACAGATAAAGTGAATGAAGTGCATATTAACTTTTGAAAAAAATAAAAAATAAATAGAGATAAGAGAGAGAAGAAAGTACATAATGAGCAATTGCCTTGGTTTAATTAAAAAAGGAACTACATTTTCTTCAATTAACCACATGCTGCTGGGGATGGCATGTGCATACATGCCATGCCCACTGTGTTTATTCAATAATTGTTTTTACTTATAGATAGCTCCATAAGTATTAAGTTACCAATGGTCCAATGATGAGAACTACCTGTCTCACTTGTTTACCATTTTCCTTGATTTTTGACAATATTTTCTGGTATTTGATACTGTTATTAATGTAAATAACATTTAAGCAATTATGATGTTTATAATAAAAATAACAGTATAATATGATAGCATTGAAAAAAAAAAAGGAAAAAATCAGGTGAGGTCACAAAGCCTACTAATTAACTCCTTTGTGGCTAAGCCCTAGAAGAGCCATCTAAGTGTAGAATCACTTCACAAAAAAATAGTTAAGTGAACACAGCATTTTCCCAATGGCACTCACCTTACGCTTCGTGTTGCAAAAGATAACTGCTTGTGTGATGGTCAGTGTATCGTACAAGTCGCACAAAGTATCAAATTTCCACTCTTCGCGCTCTACTGCCACAAAGAACTGCTTGATTCCTTCCAGTGTCAGTTCATCACTGTCAAATATTCATATGATATTGAGTAAACCATCATCATCATCACAGCAAAAATTACAATAACTATAATCAATCATAATAATAGTGATGATAATAAATACAAAAGTAATGATAATAACAATAGCAACAAAAATGACAATGCTAATGCTAATAATAATAATAATAATAATATATAATATAATAGTAAATAAATAATAACAATAAAATATAATATAATAATATAATAATAAATATATAATAATAATATAACCAATATACATAATAACAATGACAATAATAATACAAAGTAATTCAATAATAATTATAATAAAAATAAAGATATAATATAAATTAATGTAATATAATAACATGATTGTAATGCAATTTATTATTAACAGTAACAATGAAAATAGCAATAATATAATGTAATTTCATAATTACAATAATGATAATATAATGTAATTCAATATTAATATATATTATTTACTAATAACAATAATAAATCTTAAAAACTAAACACTAAAGCCACATATTTGTAATGAAAATTAACAAGATGAA